GAGTTCAAAGCCAGATTGGTCTTCACTGTAAATTGTAAATTCCAGGACAGCCAGAGCTACATAGTGAGGGCCTGTCTCAAAACAAACAAAAACCCATAGCTGAAGCTATTACCTTCCTTTTTTTTTTTTTTTAAGACATAGTCATGCTATATAGCTCAGAATGGCATGGAACTCAATAGACTAGGCTTACAGAGATCCACCTGTGTCCACCTCCTAAGTGCTGGAATTAAAGGTGTGTCCCAACACACCCAGCTAAAGATCCTACTTTTTTGGTTGGTTTTTTTTTTTTTTTTTTTTTTTGACATACAAAATGTAGTTCTGGTTATCCTGAAGCTATGTAGTCCAGGTTTAGGACTCACAGAGATCTTCTTGCCTCTGCTTCCCAAGGACTGGGATTAAAGGTGTGTTCTACCATACCTGATTGAAACACCTTTAAACTAGTATATCCATTTTCCTATTCTACAGATGGTAGAATAGAAGTTTCCTGTTGACTCAGGTAACTTCATCCTGTGAGTGCTTAGCAAGTTGTGATGAGGGCCAAGTATCCAATTGTCACCCTCCTACCTCTATGGTCATACATCAGGCCTCCTGCTAAAGCAGCCCAAAAAGTACATCTGAACCACCAGCTAGGTGTTATATCTCTGTGATAACTACACAGAAAGTGCTCATCCTTCCATCATCGAACACATGACCCTGAGATTAAGAGTCTCGTACTCTACCGATTAAGTGGTCCCTTCATCTTTATTCTCTAGTTATCTCAGAGGAGCTATTCCCAGATTCAACCCCTCTGACTTCTTTCATACCCCATGGTCTCTAGGTGATTTTAGCCCTGTAATACAACCTTCAGAGACTATATTAGTGTTTACAGCTTCTGTTCTTTACATTTTCTTAATGGATTGTATAGAAATTATCTTCATTGCTACATAACAAAAACTAAGTCACTGGAAATGGAAAACATTTATGATCTCACAGTTCCTGATGGAAGCTATCAAAGAGTGGCTCTGCTGACAGTAATTAGAGTCTCCCTCATTGATATTGACAGGTAGTTTCTGGTCTGGTCTGTTTTCTGTAGAAGTTCTGGGATCAAAGGAATGAGTTGCTCCATTGTTGCTGTAGTGAACTCAAGAGAGAAGATTACTAAGAAATGGGTTCAAGGCACTAGAAAGTCTTTTTTAGCTGGCCAGTGACTACACTGGATGTTCAGGATCCCATTGCACTCCCAAGCCTTTCTCCGATTGAGTTTTTAAGGGCGTGCACGCATACATGCATGCATGCATGCATGCATGCACACACACACACACACACACACATTCTAAGTTGAAACATCTCAGACAGAAACACAATTACAGAAGCCTAAAAGCAAGATCAGTAGATTTAGGGACTTTCAAATAACTATAGAACTTGATGGATTAAGTCTTTGTTTTTATTTTTGGTAGGTGGTGCCTATGTGCTGAGTTTCATGGCTCAAGCATGGAGAACTGAGTTTAAACCCGTGTAAAAAGCTAGACATCCCAGCACAGGGGATAGGGAACAGAGACTGACAAATTCTAAGAACTTACTGGCTGGCCAGACTATATAAGAGGCTCACCTTTCCATTCAGTGAGAGATTTCTTTCCTTGTTTTGTTTTTGTTTTTTGAGACAAGGTTTCTCTGTGTAGCACTAGTTGTCCTGGAACTTGATCTGTAGACCAGGCTGGCCTAAAACTCTGAGATTTGCCTGCCTCTCCCTCCTGAGAGCACTGGTATTAAAGGTATGGACCACCCTCACCACCACAACCCCACTCCACCACCATCACCACCCAACCCTACCCCAACCTGCCCCTGACAGAAGACATTCAATGTCTTGCTGTTTGTCTATGGATACATACTAGCACATGCATATATCAGACACACACACTTATATTTTAAATCATCACACACACACACACACACACACACACACACCCCCATACTTCTCCCCAATTACCTTCCTGCACTGAGACAGCCTGGTGACTGTCATCTTCTCTGCTACCTCCTCTTGGGGTACCTATTATATCCGAGGGCAGTTGCGGACTCCACCACTAATCAAAGCAAACCCAACCCTAGAGTGTGCGGGGATACATCTGTATATGCCCTGGCTAGATGAAAGGCTTGGGAAATGATCTGGGTCAGGGATGCCAGAGCTAGGAAGTGGTGCTACTGAACCATACCGTTTAAAACAAAACAAAAGCGCAACGCGACTCGGTAAATAAGTATCCTCTGGTACAGTCTAGGCCTCAAGCCTGCAGTCGAAGGACAAGCCACACTTCACCGATGCTACAACTTCCAGGTTCAGCTCTGGCCCAGAGGTCCAGTTTTCGAGTAAAAGAAGGTTATTGGAGTCAGCTGTAATCAAAGCTTCTTCAAGTACACCACCGAAAGCGGGAGGCGGAGCCATCAGCAACTGGAGCAACACCTGGGTTCCAGCTGGGACAGGCAGGCCGCCAGGTGGCTAAGTAAGCGGGGGTCACACGCCGGCTGGGACACCCTCACATTCCGCCAGGAAACAGATCATCTCGGTGAGGCACTCTTTGAAAGAGTCCAGTACTTGCACGGGATCTCAGGATCAGCAAAGCAATCTTACTGAGATCTCAGGGTTAGGGTAAGGGTTGGGGTTGGGGAGCAGCAAGAGAGGAAAGTGTTCCTGCGGTAGTATCATCACACACATCTCACCTACACGCAGTGTCACCCCACACACAACAGCTGTCACCCGGTCATGTGGGTTCTGCAGATATCTTACGGTCATCTCCAGGATATCAGCTGTCCCCAGTTTTGTGAGCTAGGAGCTCTGGAGGCAGGAACGCAGGATGGGTGGCAAGCCAGAGAGTTACCCTATCCTCTGAATCTTAGGCTCTCAGGGCCACAGTAAGCTCTGAGAACTGGACTCTTGGAGCGCTTCATCCCAGCCCGACTCTATGCGCGTGTTCAGAATGATGGTCTGGGAGCAGAACCATGCTTGCTTTGATGTGCGCTCGCCGCCCCCTCTCCAGCTTGGAAGACTATTAGGCGGAGCAGCGGTTGAGTCCGGTGTTCCATTGTCCCTCCCTCAACCTTGCGGGTTTTTGGCAGCGCTGTCCCACTTGTCTGGGGTCCAGCTATTGTTGGTCAGAGTTCAGGCGAGGGTTGAGAAGCTCGACTTTCCACAGTGCATCTGGCGCTCTACTGAGCACAGAGTAGACGAACACCTACAAGATTGAACCTCGAGCCCGAGTTTTGAGCGCTTAAATAAGGCAGCGGGGGAGCAGCCTGTGACTCCTTCTTGACTTCAGTTCCCACACTCCTCCCAGCCAATGGGAGGGCCAGCCTCCAGCCCCGCCTGCGGCCAGCCCTCTTACGTGTAGTCAACAACCCGGAAAGACCGGCTGCAAAAGTGAACCCGATGCAGAAATCCACTATGGAGAAGGCAGGGCATCAAAAGGAGCTCTCTGGTTAGGGTGGTGAAGTAAGTGGGGCGGAGACTCCAGACTCACGTACTTTCGGAGAGGAAGCACTGGGGAATATGGGATACAGTTCATGATCACCTCGTAAGAAATCCAAAAGGAAACATCATTTGCTCATGTGCAGTGCTGTTTCCAGCAAGGAGCCTGTAACAAACACAGAGGCCTTGGAACAAGCTTTGGTAGGAAGATGAACCAATACCAGCTACAGAGACTAGAGGGAGGTCAACTAGTCCGGTCACCTATCTGATAGGTGACATCAGCTGATATAGCACAGGGCAGTGGAAGGACAACTTCATGCAGTCTAAGGATAAGGATATCAGTGGTGACAGAAACCAGATGGGATGACGTCATGGTGCTAATGATATATTCTGAATTGCCCCAGTGCTAAGTCCAGGAAAGAAGAATTCAAAAAGTTAGGACAAGTGGGGCATAGTTGCACATGCCTTTAATGTAGCATTCAAGAGGCAGAGGCAGGAAGAACTCTGTGAATTTGAGGCCAGCCTAGTTTAGAGAGTAGGTTCCAGGACAGCCAGAGCTACATAGTGAGACACTATCTCAAACACACACATACACACAAAATTATGGCAAATTCAAAATTTTCTGTTTTTTCAAAGGAGAATAAGAAAAACAGGACCATTATTATTTGAATGGTTGCTGTTGTTTTCATTCTGAGTTACATTGCAAGGTATACAGACATTTTGTACTCAGGTTACTAAGCACAGCATAGCCTGGCAGCTGCCTCCAAGTATTCATTCAATGGAGGTGGCCTGAGACCATAGTAGAGGCTAGATACCCTACTGGTGATTCAAATCTGGTTTAGTAAGCCACAGAAAGTGGCTAGCTTGTTGGGTTAGGGTAAATGGCACAGTTTGTTTGTTTGTTTGTTTGTTTGTTTGTTTGTTTGTTTGAGACAGGTTTCTTTGTGTAACCCTGGCTGTCATGGAACTCACTCTGTAGACCAGGCTGGTCTTGGACTCACAGAGATCTGCCTGCCTCTGCCTCCCAAGTGCTAGAACTAAAGGAGTGAACCATCACCTTCAGCTTGAAAATGTCACTTCTATTGAGTAGTTCTAAAGCCTTCACAACTGGTTCTTCAGAGAGATGGAAGCTCAAGAGGCCAGGTACAGGGAATGGCACTCCCAGAATATTCTGGAAAAGGGACACAGTGAAGAAGGGAAGGGATAAGCTAGGGACTGCAGGACAGAGACTTCTTTATCTGTCTAGTGTATGAGGCTGATAGCTGGAAGATAGTCTCCTGAAAAGAACCTAGGTGCCTTCCCAGAAGCTGTCTCTCTTTTCTCTGAAGCCAATCAGGACCTAGTCTGGTCCTAGTCTATACCTAAAGGAATTCTGCTTCTTGGATCTAGGAAGCCCTTTTATGATCCCAGTGCTAAACTATCCTTTGATAGCTACTCCTTCCAGGACTGGAGATGGGTGAAGAACAGATGTCCAACACCCCAGGCACATGTACCCATACCTTCAATACAAGAGTCAGTCCATGTCTTGGGGTTGACAGGAAGGCTGGGCTGTAATTTTCACAGCTATAGATCTATGCTGAACCTTATGAAGGAGTCTGTGTGGAATGCCCCAGACTTCTGCCTCCTGCAGACATCAGACAAGCAGGGTACAAACAAGTTTTCTATCATTAGTTCCTGTTCTGACTTTTACATGTCTTGTGAAGGACCTAAAGTGCTGGGTGTTTAGGGAGTTTTAGAGCATACAGGCCTAGTTATGGCCTTGACCTTTGAGAGCCAATCCCTTTCCTTCCCAACTACAGTTTCTTTTCATTCAGTTTTGTCCCCCCCACCCTTGCTCATTTAAGGTATGACTTAGGAAAAGGAAACCGAAACAGAAAATAGTTCTGGTTTCTGGAGACTCCGCCTCTTCACAGCCACAGCTCCTACTTAAAAGAGTTGACCCAGTCTATGACTGTGAGAGCAAGCATCTAGCAGCTGAGAGAAGCAGACTTCTTAGTTCCAGGGGACCTAGTGCTAACTAAAGCCTACAGCCATGGTGAGTCCAATTTGGGGTAGAGGCAGGTGGGTTTCATTCTAGTTGACTTTCCTCTATTCTATGATAGGGTCTTCAGGAGGCAGAATAGTCACAGTGTGGGAACAGAATTGCCCAAAGCTCACTTGGGGGGCGGGGGGCCTAGGTTCTTTGTCTGCTCAGCTACCAGCTCTAGATCCCTTAGGGCTGGACCCAGAAGGATATCTTTGTGGGTGAACTGAAACAATGTGATAGTTGTGGGAGGCTGACCCTTTAGAACTGAGGCCTCTGTATCATACAACACCTGGATGGTCCCCTTGGTAGAGGAGAGGATGGGTGAGGGTGGGACATGGGGGCTGGCCCTGTGACCAGTGCTTTGCATGTAGTAACTCTCAGCCAAAGTTGCTAAACCAGTGGTTCTCAACCATGGTTCATGAACCCTTTGGGAGCCTGAACAACCTTCTCGAAGGAGTTGCATATATCCTGCATATAGCAAAATCACAGTTATGAAGTAGCAATGAAAATGGGGGTCACTACAACTCAAGGAAGTGTACTAAAGAATCGAAGCATTATATTAGAGTTGTAGCATTAGGAAGGTTGAGAACCACTATTAAATCCATGTGATGCTTACAGGCCTGGAACCTAAAGGTGAAGATGCTGGGGGGTGATGAGTTCCTGGTGTCTCTGACTAACTCCATGATGCTGTCAGAACTGAAGAAGCAGATTGCCCAGAAGACTGATGTGCCAGCTTTCCAGCAGCGCCTGGCCCACCTAGGTGGTGAAGTGCTACAGGACGGTGTTACCCTTTCCAGGCTGGGTCTGGGTCCTGACAGCACAGTCATGCTAATGGTACAGAACTGCATCGATCCTCTGAACATCCTGGTGAGGAATGCAAGGGGCCATAGCAATATCTATGAGGTCCGGCTGACACAGACTGTAGAAGTGCTTAAGAGGCAGGTGTCCCAGCAGGAGCAAGTCCATGAAGACCAGTTCTGGCTGAGCTTCGAGGGAAGGCCCATGGAGGACAAAGAGCCACTGGGGGAGTATGGCCTAAAGCCCCAGTGCACAGTCATCATGAATTTGCGCCTGAGAGGGGGAGGGGACTACTATGCCTAAGGCCCCTATCCACAGCCAGTGTTGATTATAAAAGATGATGCAATAAAAAGTTCTGCCTCCTGTTTGCTTGTCTCTCTTCAGAAATGCTCTTCTATCCATGGTGACTAGGCTCTGGGTTGCCAAGTTAAGAGACAAGAATTTTACAGTTAGACCATAGTTTGGAAATTCCCTCTAAACCCTTTGGGTAATTAATTCACTTCTGGAGAAAGACACTTTTGCTGGGACCCAGTTCTGAGCCTCAGCCAGCCCCTAAGAACTCCCCCCTGTCTCCATGTGGCTCAGGGACAGGTCAGGCCAGTTCCTACCAGTAACAGGATGAGACTCCTAATGGGACCAGTTAATTTCTCAGATCCTTTAGAAACAGTGAAGGAATGTTCTTGGACCTATCTGGGTAAGCTGTGAAGGAAGGTGATGTATTTTTTTGTGGGTGTTCCTAGTCCCACCTGCACTAGTCCACAGAGGGAAGGACAGAGTCTTACCACTCAAATCAGTCACTTGGTGTTTAGGACATGGTGGTTAGCAAGTATACCTCATCAGGCTATAAAGAGGCCACTATAGGCAGGTTAGATGGGCACCTGGAATTGGGGGCTCATTTGTCCACAAAAGGAAATCGAATCTCAGATAGGAGGCACCCAATTTGAAAAAGCTTCACCCTCTTCCTGCCTGATGTTTTTTTTATCTTGTCTTTTCCTCTATCAACTTACTCAAGCCTTTGAGTTGGCTTAAGGCACAAGCAAGTCAGGACAAGTACTTCTATGACCCTTCAGACCTTTAAGAGAATTTGAATGGAGACTCTCAAAAGACCCCCTTCTGGTTGGTGTGTTTGTGATCATCCAGATTAGGTGACCCAAGATCTAGTAAAGCCCACTGTGTAGATGTGACCTCAAATCTTTATTGACCACTTCCTTCCTTGAATTCAGCCAGGGTCCTGATGGTGGTGTCTTTCTCAGGAGGAAGAGCTTCTGCCACTCACATACTTCACTCTGGCTTCTAGTTCAACGGCCTATGGTCCATACACAGTCTTAGGAAGATAGTACAGCATCTTCTCTCTTTCCTTCAATCTTCTGTAGGTCTAGTGCTAGCTTGGCTCCCTTGGGCCTCAGTTTATACCCTGTACCTAACCAGGCCAAGTTGGAGAAGCTCTGGTCCACAGAGGGAGAAATGGAGGGGGTGGGGACGTGGTAGGTTCTGTAGCTAGAGAAGACAGCCGGTCGATAAAGAGCACCCCACTGCCCTACCCAGCCAGGGGCCTGGTGGGCGGGTCTGAGCGCAATTCATAACAGTCACCGCTGACCGGCTATCGGCAGGGGGCGTAGTCCTGCTGGACCGCCGTAGAGCCTGTAGTGGTATCGGTACAGCCTCGGGGAGCCCTGTGAGCAGTCCTAGCGTGAGGCGGACCCAAGGGGCTCGGGAACGGAAGGTCCAGCTTCGACAGTCTCGCCTGTCCAGGGAGCCCTGCGGCTCTTGGCGCACGGACGAGCCCCTTGGAATTCCCAGCACGTCGCCCCTCGATTATACATTAACCTGATTTCAGCTGCATTTCCTGGTGGGAGGACAGTTTAGGCGGACGGGGGAGGCGCCCCGGCGGCACGCCTTCCCCTCCCCCAAGGCGGCCCGCCACCCACCCGGCGAGGCCCCCGCCCCAGCTCGGCGCCGCAGTCTCCGGGCTTTGTTCGCTGCCCGCGCGGGTCGTAGGGAGCGGGGGCGGGCTGAGCTCCCAGAAGGAGGGGCGGTGCTGCCCAGTCCCGCCCCTGGCCCGCCCCCATGCCGTCCGCCCTCCCACCTCCTCCGCCTTGCTGCGGTCCAGTTCTGTCCTGCCCCCTGAACGGTCCGGCCCGCGCGCTCTCCAGGCTCCCTTCCGCCGTTCTGGGCTGCGCCATGGTCAGCCTGCGGCTGTGTTTCCCGGCCCCGCTGCTGCCACTGCTGCTGCTCTTGGTAGTGGCCGCGCGAACGCTGCCGGGCGCCAGCGGGACGTGCCCGGAGCGCGCCCTGGAGCGGCGCGAGGAGGAGGCGAATGTGGTGCTCACCGGCACAGTGGAGGAGATCCTCAACGTGGACCCGGTGCAGCACACGTACTCATGCAAGGTGGGCCCCGACAGGACCCCACGAGACCTAGCCCTCTGGAATCCCAGCCAGGGGCTCTTTTCCCCGTGGTTCCCGTCCCTGAAGCCCGCCCTTCGCGTGCCGGCCGCCCCGCTGGGACCCCGGCCCTAAGCCGTGGGAACGAGTCCGAAACGTTTCTGCAGCCCCAGCTGGAGCTCCCTAGGCGACCGCCAAGCCTCCGGGTGGGGCATCAGGTCCCGGAAAACTCTGCAGCTCAGGGCGAAAGTTACTGCGGGGCCGCTGTGGTTCCTTTCACGGTGTTCAGGCCCCAGTTGCTGTAGTGCCTACCCCCACCCTTGTCCAAAGCCCCTCTTTCTTGTTGGAAACAAGTGTACAACCTCGCCAAAAGAAAGGAATAGGGTTTGGGGAGGCATGAGGTGGGAACGAACTCGAACTGTGGTGAGGCCTCTCTACCAGGGCGAGGAGTGGTCTGTAGAGAGTAAGGGGTGCGTAGTCTAATCCGCAAGTCCGAGGAGCCTGCGTAAGGTGCTGCAGTGAATGCGTGTCGGGGGATCGGGAGCAGAGAGACGGGCATGGGTAGAGGGCTGTGGCTAAGTCTTTCGAACATGAGCAGGTGCTCAGTACCACTGCTCGAAGAACTGGGTTTCCCCTACCATATAGTAGAAGAATCAGCTCTGTTTCAACTAAAGCTGAATTTGAGAGCACCTTGGAATAGGTATGGGATCGATACCCCTCAAATCACTTCACTGGAAATAGGAGTGTTCTTACTCTTTGGGAATGAGAAGGATGGTGACTTCTTTCAGAGTACCGTGTGTTCATGGGATCCCCCGGCTGGGCCCCCTCCTCTCCCTGCCAAGGCACTTTGCCAAGTCCCTGCAGGATTTTCCCGACTTCCTCCCCGCTGCTCCTGGGTGTGGCTGTGATGGGGGAGGTGTGAGAACAACTGTGAGCTTCCCCCGTTTGGGTTATCTCCCACAATAGTTGGGGGGGGGGGCACAGGTAAATGAAGTTATTTAGGTGGTGCAGTTCTTAGGTCCCTCAGGAGCTAGGCAGGTGGAAAATATGCCCATTGTCTTTTTTGCTCCCTCCATTCCAGAATCCCAAATCCCCAGAGCATCTGAATAAGAGGCTCTTTCCTTTTCAAAAAGTGTCTGGGCTCCTGGACTTGTCCTGTGGGCACTGCAGGCTACTTCCTCCAGCCATGTCTGTCAGAAAGGATGCCTTCGGGGCCCCAAATAAGAAGGTGGAGGGTGGGGCCGACTTGCATTGCCCAAACTTGACTTTGTGGTTCAGAGCTGCCTTGGCTGCACAGATTCAGGCAGACTATGGAGCAAAGAAGTGGGTCTTTACTTCCTGGGAGAGGTGTCAGCCCACACACAAGGTTGTGAAGAGCCCATCTGGGATCTTGCTCTTAAGTCCTTTCACCTAAAGTGTCTGGTCCTGAGTGGTAAGTCCTGAATGGACCCTTGTAGTTGGACTTGGCTAGTTAGACCTGGGGTGGGAATATTGTTAGGTAGTATGCCTTGTGTCATCCTGAATCTAGTAGATGTCTACTGCACCACAGTCTTTAAACATCTCTGCCCAAGGCTGGAGTCCACAGTGGACATTGGCTTGAGCTAGTGAGATCAGAGAGGGGAAAGGGTCCAGGTGTCCAGTCTGTAACCCTATCCCCTTAAGACCAATACACTTTTACTTCTGTATCCTCTCAGGTTCGAGTATGGCGGTACTTGAAAGGCAAAGATGTGGTGGCCCAGGAGAGTCTGCTGGACGGTGGCAACAAGGTGGTAATTGGTGGCTTTGGAGACCCCCTCATCTGTGACAACCAGGTGTCCACTGGGGACACTAGAATCTTTTTTGTGAACCCAGCACCACCCTACCTGTGGCCAGCCCACAAGAACGAGTTGATGCTCAACTCCAGCCTTATGCGGATCACTTTGCGGAACCTGGAGGAGGTGGAGTTCTGTGTGGAAGGTGCGTTGTGAGGGTGTTCCTTTAAGGGCCAGTGGCTTGCTGATAGTGACAGAAAATGTATGGGATCTGAGGGTGGGGTGCTGAGGAGAGCTTGCCATGGGGAGGAGAGTCAGCCATCTTGCTGCCTACTTGTGATGCAGCATTATTGTTCCTAGCTCCATCTCTAGCCACACAGATTAAAAAACCCCAGACTCTGATGTTAGCTGTCTTTGTTTGGTCTTGGAGCCATAAACAAACAGGCTGCTGTCCTGAAAAGAGACAGGTGTCTCTGCTTTGTCTTTCTTTTTCCCCAGCACTCTACATTCCCCCTTGAAAGATCCTTTTTTATGGAAGCTGGGACCAGGTAAATAAATACACACCACTTCTGGTTGGATTGGCTAGGCACAGGGGATTGGAAGGTGGGGAACTCTTCTGTGTGTTCCAGAGGCACATAGTTTGTGGAGCAGCTTTGTGGGATTATGCTGCCATCCTCTAAAAGGTGAACAGAATTACCTAGCCATCCAGGTCTTCCCTCTCTTTTCTTTAGGACATCTCCAGTTGGTGACTGATACCTTTGGGGTAAATGTGGTAAAGAATGCTTTTCTCCGTCTGCTACTACACTCTGTCTGTTCTCTCATGGCTTGCTGGAAGATTTGTAGGGCTGGGGACAGAAACTTCCTTTTCAGGGCAATGGCAAGGGTTGTGACTTCTGGTTCTCTGATGTGATATGTTTGCCAACCCAGAAAACTTAAATCGCCTGTTTCTTTCTGCTTTGATGCTGGCTTGACTCAAGTGGTATCTCTAGAAAGAACCCTGTCCCTATGCTGGCCTTAGGGGAATCAGTATTGGAGGGACAGGGCCAGAATAGAAAGCCCTGTGGCCTCTCAGCCAGCTCTGAGACCCTATCTAGAGAAGATCCAGAGACTCTAATACTATTATGGAAGCTTGTACTTTGGGAAATTGGGTGCAGGAGAAGTGGGGGAAGATGTGTATGTGAGGCCAAAGGTAGATATGTCAACTTGGGGTTTTTAGGGGGCTGAGGAGGAACCATAGTCCTTTGTCCCTACAAGATCAAGAGGGTGAATCATTAATAGCCGGGTGTATCTAGTAGCTTGAGGGTCTGTGACTCAGTACCTTAGAACTTCCCCTGAGATCAGAGGTCATGGTAGGGTGTTCACTCTGGACAGAACAAGGTTTAGCATCTCACCAAAGCCAGTTATTATTATCCTCTGGCTTTGGTGATGGCAGAGCCCAATTTGGAGCCAGACTGCTAGGAAGAAGAATCATGGAAAGATGCCCCCTCCCCCCTCCTGTGCACTTGTGTATGTCTGATACTTAGCTCCTAAGACTCACAGACCAGCATTTTTTTTTTTTTTTAGATTTATTTATTTATATATGAATACACTGTAGCTGTCTTCAAACACACCAGAAGAGGGCATCAGATCTCATTACAGATGGTTGTGAGCCACCATGTGGTTGCTGGGATTTGAACTCAGGACCTCTGGAAGTGCAGTCAGTGCTCTTAACCACTGAGCCATCTCTCCAGCCCACAGACCAGCATTTTACCAGTGGAGAGCCCAGGATTAGCTGCCAGGGTGGGTGGGAAGACTCAGGATGACAGATATGGAACTGGGGACTCCTAATAGAGCCAGGGAGGCTGAAGAGATGCCTTAAGGTGTGTGAAAGATACAGTGAGGTAGGATAGGGAGCCTGGGGATCACTGTAAGAAGCTTGAAATGGTATGTTGAATCTGTTTTGAAAGCAGACCAGAGTGCCACAGGGTGAGTTGGGTGCTAAGGTAACATCAAAACACCCAAGAAACCGTCAGAGCTTAGGATCAGGATGGAAATGACACATCTCTTGCCCACTCCTCTGAAGCTGTGTCCATTTCCTGATCTGTAGGTGATCTGAGGCTTTTGAACCTCATACTAGATCCTCAGCAAGCTCAACCCTCCAATCCGACTTCCAGTTCTTCCTCCAGGTCTTCCTACTCTGCCCCACCCACACTGGGAACTGGGTGAAATCTGGGCCACTCCTGACCTCTTGTTCACTCCAGGAACACCCCCAGCCAGCCAACCCCTCCCCCACACCAGAAAGGCTCCTCTGGTCCTCTGCCTGGGGAGCCACATTCCTGGCATAACTGGGGCAGGTATGTGCCCTTCCCTTTGCATCACCTTTGGGCAGGAGTTGCTGCTGCTCCTTCTGGAAAGGGACTGCTCAGTCTGACAAGGTTTAGTCAGGGAAGTGGAGAATCCTTTTACTGAGCATAGGCCCATTGTTATCCTCACCCCATCTCTAGAGAAAGTTGGATTGGCCCCTCTGAAGCCCCCAGGAGAGACACAAGCTTGGCTTGGGACCTGCACTTCCCCACTAAGAGCCAGGAGCAGAGAAAGGAAGTGTTGTCTGTTCCAGCCACCACCTGGCACAAGGACAGGGCAGGGGGCCAGGGTTGAGTGAGCCTGGCACCTGACCAGCCTGGCCCTTCCCAACTCTGAAGCTGGGGTCTTGGTGACAATACTCTCAGGCCTAAGCTAGCCAGATACATTCTGCCCTTACTCTCTGCTAGATCAACTATCCAGGGCTTTTAGAAGGATAGAGTAGAAGAATTCCATGGATAAGAGCAGCCTGAGTACCTAAGGGTGGCTTCTGGCACTGGAGTTGCCTAGGATATTGTGACCGTCGCTAGAGTGTTGGAAGAACTGCCCTCCAGGCTACACTTAGACTCCCATTGCCATGTTCTTTCCCCTCACCTCCCCCACATTCCTTCTGCTGAAGGGGGAGGTGGCTCTCCCTTTGGACTCCAGGTTCTCTACTACTCTACAACCCCACCCAGAGTCCTTTGAGGGCTCCGCCCCAAGGCAGGTCTGGGCTGGAGGCTGCTAGAGCTGGAGGCTGCTTGCTATCCCTACTGCTGCTTGCTATCCCTACTGCTTCTTGCCCAGAGAAGGGCCTTCCCAGGTAGGGAAAGGCCTCTCTTCCATGCCAGGGAGTTCTGGTAGGAAGTTGGCTGCAGGAATGGACTTGTCTCGTCTCTGGGCTCAAGGCAGCCTTGAGTGGGCTTTCCTTGCTGGAATTGAAGAAGAGTGCTTGCTTATAGGTGAGTGACAGGCAGGATACGATTGGTTCAGTGGAAATGACTTCCCTTTAGGTAGGCCGTAAGAAAGACTGAGCTGGTGGAAGTTACTTTTTGCTTTTTCTATACCCATCCTACTCTTCCATCCCTACCCAGAGCAGCTGGGAGAGTTGATAAGATTTTTGGTGGAAGATCCAGGGATGAAGGGATCTGTGAGGAGCTTCTGTGAATGAGAAATGGGGAGGGGTGTTTTGAACCCACTTCTCTCTGCATGGACTTTTCTGGACAAAGCAAATTTTGTTCCAACATGCTTGAGGCCTCACAGCAATCCTGTGTGTATGGGACCTGTATTGCAGACCTGAGGAACTGGGAGATTGGAATGTTGACCCAGGTCTCTGGCTACCCCAACCTAGTCCAGCTACTCAGCAGTTCCTACAAGCTAAAGAAGGAGAGAATAGAATGAAAATAGAGAGGAGATGGAGGACACAAAGGTCCTGTATTCCTGACTGGTAAGGACCCTCTATTGCTTCCTATGTCTGGCTGCTATGAGACAGAAGTCACAAGAAGGTGGCAAACAGCTGTCTTTTCCTCCTCCTGTGAGACTCAGATCAGCTGTTTACCTTAGGGTCAAGATAGAGACCCATTGAAGCCCTGGTGGGCTGGACAGAGGGCTACCACAACAGTCGTCATTGTAATTCTACTCATCTGTGGCAGTTATCAACAAGAAGAGGGCTCTATGACCTCTGTACCTCCTTCTGGGGCTCAGGAGTAGGCCTGTGTGTGACCCATGTTGGAAGATGGGAGATTTGATAAGATCTGTGGTGGAGGATCCTGGGATGAAGGGATCTCATCGCCTCCCTTCCTCAGCACCAATCCTGAGAATTTCCTCTGAGAAACGCCCCCTGCAGGGGCAATTTACTAGGGAATAGAGATGGCCTCTCATGTATTCCTAGGCCTGCAGTTGGGGGTGGGGTAGTTCTCACTGTCTTGATTTTTCTGGGTTTGTATTTAAGTACACGGGTCCTAGATGCTGTCCTCGTGTGCATGTGAGACTCAGCATCTACTTGTTAGTTCTGTTTGGGCCCCTGCTGGAGAGGCAGGGACACCATTTTTGAGCTCTGCCTGTAGGAATGACTGAGGTAGATTGCAAACATTTAAAATGAGGGACGTGTCTGGTAAGCTGCTGTGAAGACAGGTGACCAGGGAACTTGGTCACTGACCTTTACAACCTGCAAGACCCTGAAGCTGACACAACCCTTCCTCCCCTCTGCCCCCCTATCTGCTGCTAGCCTGAGGTGAGTTTGAGAGTTCCCTTGACCATCACTTCTAGGTCCCAGAAGATACTAGGTTAGCATTATGCCTGTGCAGGCCCCTATATCCACAAGTGAGGTTCTAGCACATATGGAAGAACAGCACAAACACCATATTGGTAGAAGGATTGAGGTGTTTGTCCCTTATTCAGTTATGAGGAGTGGCCTGTGGTGTCATCCATCATTGTCAGTTCCTTCTCACGAGTGTCAAATCACCACCACTCTACAGCTGTTCCCTATAGGGTTCATGGGACATCTGCTGTAGCTGCCAACTCAACAGAATCTTTTTGTGTGTATGTACAAGCATTTTGCCAGCTTTTTTTTTTTTTTCTTTTCTTTTGAGACAGGGTTTCTCTGTATAGCCCGGGCTGTCCTGGAACTCACTCTGTAGACCAGGCTGGCCTCGAACTCAGAAATCCATCTCCCTCTGCCTCCCAAGTGCTGGGATTAAAGGCGTGCGCCACCACCGCCCGACATTTGCCAGCATTTATGTCTATGCACCTCATGCATGCCTGGTGCCTGCAGAAGCAGAAGAGAGCATCAGATCCCATTACAGATGGTTGTGAGCCACCATGTGGTTGCTGGGAATTGAATTCAGGACCTCTGGAAGAGCAGTGTTCTTAACTGCTGAGCCATCT